GGGGGGGGTGTCCTTCCGAAGCAGCCCGCAGTGCCACAAAGCAGCCTGGCAAGGACAGAGCAGCGAAAGGCTGCACAGGCTTGTCGAGAGAAATCTATTTTTGAAACGCCGATGCATAAATTCAAAGGAAAATGAGCCTTTAGTATAAGCTGGGTGTTTAAAATAGAGCAAAGAAGCTCTAATCTTAAATTATTTTTTTTTTATTTTTTTCTTTTTAAGAGGGCTGGTAAGGCAGCAAGCAGTTTATGGGATCAAAGGGGTGAGTGGGTTTGAGTGATGTTTGAGTTCATCACGCTGTCTTTTATTCAAGTACTTAAATGGAAGAAGCACACTTGCAGTGACATTGCATCGCAACCCAAAGGACTGCCTGGAACTATTGTCTCCAAGGAAGAGTATGACTCACAGCAACTTTAGTGCATCTCATCCTGAATGCACAGTGGTTTTGCACCCGAGATGCTCTCCTTTGTCATATTCGATACAAGTATGCATATGAAAATACCAGGAATGCGTGCATAAGGCCCTTATTTGCACTGCATCTTGATAACAGCAAATGGATACCATTCAAAACTGCTAAAATGACAAAACCCAGAATAGCATAATACAAGTCAACCATCAGTTCAAGCAGCAGATGCAACCTTAAGCTACATCTAAAAATAAATATTGATTTATTATGATTCTTTTGAAATGCACACTCATTATTCAATTAGAATCTCTTATTACTGTTTTTGAAATAGTATATAAATATCTGGAAGCCTTACTGAGGCAGAAAAGGACACTATGGTTTTTACAAAAATACATGCTTACCTTCCCCCCCTCAAATGTTAGAAAACCCTAATACCTGTCAGAAAACAAACAAACAAACAAAACCCCACACAAAATTAAAAAAGCAAACAAAAAAAAAACCCACAAAAAAACCCCAACAAACAAGCTGTTGTATCTTACATACACATCATCAAATCCGTCCTTGTGTTTTGGTACAGGCAGACAATTGTTTCTACCAGACTGTACCAATTACTGTCTTGGCTAAGTGAGTCTCCAACGTAATTGTAGACAGGCAAGGTGTCATTAAAACATCTCCACTCCATATAAAGCACCCGAGCATTTTCAAGCATACTGATGAAAGCTGTAAATTGCTTCAGTAAATTATCAGTAAATCCTGGTAGAGGATACTGGACGGAGAGTTCCAGCATCCCAGAACAATCCTCAGTAACACCAGTCTAAAGAATTCCAGTTTACAAAATATATACAACAAATACAAATTTATTTACCATTTGTTTATTTTAGTCAATTGTAAAAGCCAAGGTTAAAGGTTTTAAGGGAATTCAAGTACAGGTTACAACCTTTTCTCAAGGCTCGAGAGCAATATAAAAGTCAAATTCAGATTCTCCTATGGCCTCAACTCCACTGTCTACAGCTTCAAATTGCAGTGCCTCTAGGAATACCAAAAAAAAAAAAGATCTGGTAAAAATAAAAACTTTAACTGGCAACAGTATTTTGGAAAAACAAGGCACTGCCTTCTAGAACTCAGAAGCAAGTTTTCTCATCTTAGATGGCACCAAAATAGTTCAAGGACAGTGCACCATAAATGACACAAATCCCCCATCACGTATCTCCCACACTATCCATCTCCTGTATCCACCAAGGACCTGTAGATTTTCCTGACCACCCCTCTTCTACAGAAAAAGCAAACTGCATCAGCTTCAGATTAAAAAGAAAACTCAAACTTTAACATTAATTTAAACAGATTTCTAGAATTAACTAGTCTCAGAATAATCCACTGTCAGTACAGAAGTATTACAGTACTTGATACATACATGCCGTAACATTGATGAGGAAGAAAACCATTTATATAAAAAGAGCCTGTATAAAATGCACCTTAGGTAACCCAACCTATCCCATCCCACCTCCCCCTCAAATGATGGCAGAACATCAGCAAAAGCACTAGAGTGAATGCACCATTTTGCCACTGTTTCTCCTTTTTTTTTTTTTTTTTTTTTAAACAAGAAAATGCATTATTAGCTTCCAGCCATTTGCTGGATAACGGACACCGAATTTCTGTAGATTCAGGAACTCTGCTCGTCTCTCATGAAGCTACTATTACCCATGCAAACCTTTAAAAACAGTGAGTCTACCTCTCTCAAATCAAGAGCACTGCCTCTTGGAGCGAAGTTACATTCAACAGAGATAAGTGTCAACGCTGCGAGGCCAAACGCCTTTACCAATCTCACGGTAGTTTTAAGATGTTGTTGAGGCAGACAGGCTGCAAGTACATCAGCATAATTAAAATGGAATTATAAAAGAGATACAATAAATTAAAAAAATAAAGTTCTAGTGGTAAACTTCTGAGACCGATTACTCTGTTAAGGCTTCATAAAGCTGTGAGGTATTTTCACTTCCATGAACACAACAGCACCGTGCAAATTTTCAGTCCAAGAGTCTCCAATCTCTGAAGCCCCGAGGTCACCAGGATACTACACTGAAAACATCTTCTGCATGTTTGAACACATGGAGGGAAAGTCTTCAGTTTTCCATAATTTACCATATAAAAAAAAAAAACTTATAAAAATCCATTTGGAAGCTGAACTTTGCTTTATTTGCAATAAATTAAACACAAGTCTGTTCTGACCAACATAAATCTCGATGAATTAAACATTGACGGAATATATTCCCCTGGGCCCTCTAGATACCAAGAATGTTTACTTTAGATTTAAACAGGAAGCCAGGTCTGAAAGCACTGACATCCAGGGAGGAAGAAACATCAAGTGATTCAGGATTTCCAAAAGGCGGGCTCCAGAGTGCCCTCCGGGACTGGAATTTCCTTCTTCTCTAGACATACCTAGTGGAGAGAGAAAGACAAAGAACAAAGGAAAAAGAAGTAAGTATCTTAATTAGCCATCTCTTCTCAGGCATTTGGGTAGCTCTTACTGCACACATCCAAAGCATTGCTAATAAAATGTACCCAAATTAATTTTGAAATCCAAGTACAAACTCTGAAGCTATCACAGTTTAATATCATAATGAAGTCACAAAACAATTTAAATAACAAAGTATTTTACAGTTTTGCAAGCTGTCTTAAAAAAAAAAAGATGCAGAATACAATGCTAAACAAATACTACAGGGAGCAGTTCGAGGTGTCTGCTTCCTCATGTACCTCATCAGGGCAACAGACAAAACCGAGCAAGCCACTGACAAAAAACCAGCTGTTACAGAAATGACTCGGCAGAATCCTCAACCTGTACATCTCTCACTGCAACTAGTCTCACTGAACTTCGTTTATAATCAAAATACATTTTCTCTGAGAAATACCAGATGTGAAGAAAGGAATGAGATGTTTGACATCATAACTATCATTAAGGTAATTCAGTAAAAAGTTACAAAAGACGGGTTACATCATAGCGATGAGTCTGGACTATCAGGTATGCTGCAAGCAGCACCAGCCTCATTAGCAAAATGATGCATATATCAAACAAAGGGAAGAAAACCATTTGAAAACCAAGAAAAAACAATGCAAACGGCTTTACCTCTAAGAAGAACTTGAAACGCACTAAAGGGCCGATCTGTCCAGCGCTGGTAATCGCCTCAATTCTGCAGAAATAACAGCACATTTCAAAATCTACTCACAAAGTTGGGTTTGATGTACAAGTGGGTGTGGGGGCGAACGGCAGAGATTGGAAGAGATGGACAAGTCATTTAAGAGCAAACACTCACGAAGTAAAAACCAAGGATTATTTCACATTCTTAACCACCTGCATCATACCTTGGGCAATACTCTTCTTGGATAAGCAACATCATTTTCCAGAACTGGTCCTGATACTGTTTCATGAGAGCATGGCCACACACCTGTGGTACAGAAATCCACAAAGACCAGGTTCCAGAGCTGAGTTTCAGACTAGCACAACTACTTCAATGAACCTGTTCAATATCAACCCCTTAACATTTTATCCAGACATTTAAAGAAATATACCTACACGAAGAATAAACCAAGCAAATCCTCTAAATGCCATTACTGCTACCACAATCAGCTGCCTTTTTTTTTTCTTGTTGACCATGTGGTGGCCACTGATACCGATCTTGTGTTATTCTTCCTCTCGCTCCAGCCTCCCTCCAAAAATAACAGCCTTCCCTAACACCATTTGCTAGGGCATATTGTGGTCCTTTCCCCATCTTGATTACTGCAGTGTGGATTCATCAGCTTTCTTCATACAGTCAGTTTACAGGACCAACGTCCCTCAAACTTTACTGCTACTAACAGAACTGGAGCGTTTCACTTTGCACTTTCTCATTCCTACTTCGAAAGTTCTTTAGAAGGCATCTGATAAGCACCAAAGTGTTCTTGTGTTCAACAGTACTTGTTGTTTCCTTTGTCTCTTAGTTAGCGTAGCCCTATATCCTAGGACATGGGGTGAAGATACACCAGGCTCTGTCCTTCTCGGCCTGAAAAACCCTTCCTGTTTCATGAAGTAACTCAGCTGGAAAGGCCACAGGACCTCACTGCCTTGTACCAACTGATGCTGAGTGCTTAGCAGATCTTACTCGTACAGGACCATGCAATTATTTTTAAAATACAAGAAACCTTAAACTGAACCAAATACAACATTAGTCGCAGGCATAAAAACTTCTGGTTTTGAATCATTTGGCTCCAAAACTGTATTTGCAACAATGCGGAAATATTCACATTCCTTTCTGAAGGAATAAGGACAAGTTAAAAAACCTCTGCTGTTAAAAATCGCAGCAGTCCCTCAGATCCCTCAAATCCCTCACCTCAGCAATCCCTTTAGAAACTAAAGTGTCACCAATTTAGATCTCTTTAATCATTTAGTAATCCACATCACTTACCTCCAGAAAATCAAAAAGAAGTGTAACTGTCACAACTGGCACAGGCTCCATATTCAAGATCTGAGCAAGCCAGCGCCATCCATGGTTCAGTCCATGAGGATGATTCTATAAACAGCAACAAAAAAAGCAAGTTACCCACCGCTTGTTTCATGACTTGCAAAATACTATTATCAAAACAGGCAGCTTTCTGATTTACTTTCTTCTTTATCAAGTTATTTTACAATAGCCTAAGATAAACCTTGATCATTATGATAATATGAAGAGGGGAAGTAAAGGTCAACACTACAAATGACTTTGCATTCCTTTGGTGATTCTGGTTACGACCATCTCCCTTCAAACAGGTTATGAGCTGATTTAAGCTCAGCGCGCCTTAACCACAAATCAAGTTTACAACCATTCAGGAGACTCTCGGGATAGTAACGAGGTTCTCGTTACCACGCTATACACACATACCCCTTGTTTGTTCCCGTAAGGCCAGCGGATTTGCATGATAGCACCATAAAGACGAATCAGTCCTCCCATCCGTTTAAGAAACTGCTCTTGCTCTTCCCACTTGGACTCATCAACATGATATCCGAACATCCTAAGTATGAGAAGACATTCCAGTATCAGTACAGCAAAACACATTCACTTGAGTGCCTGCAGTTCTCCACTTACTTTAAGCCAACTGTACTGAGAACAGGGATACTCGAAAACCATACAAGAATTATTCCAAAGGCTGATCATTACCCTCTGGTTCATATGTTCCGCTATGTGATACAACGTAGGATATTTAGGTTCTGTACTGGATATTTCAACTTGAATCAAGCTATGGCTATCAACAGTTCTTTGAGAAGGACAAGGAAGAAGCAGAAAAAGAGCATTTCCAAAGCTGAAGGACACAGCATCTTCCAGGGAAACAGGGTCAGGGGAACTGCACACTTATGAGTGAATCTCCAGAGCCTATGCTGGCACATCCCAGTGCCTACGTACTCAGAGATGAAGAAAAGTGGAGTTCACTCAGAAGAATACAGTCTTGTCCCTTGCAGGGTTCATGCTGAAGAAGTCCAATAATAAATTTACCCCTGAGATTGTTTCGTAGAAGTCCCCTCTTTGAACTCAGGGTAAAATGGCACAGCATAGGGGCATATTTTGTGCAGATGAGCTAGAAAGAGGTCTCCAACTCGAGGGTACGCTTCCCAGATTCCTGAGATCACCGCACCAATTGTGAAAGCTGCATCATGGTTCGAAGATACTTCTTCTGCTGCTTGTCTCTGGAGGGGGGGAAGGAAAGTCAGTCACCACACCTTCAAGCCATTTCTCAGACAAGAAAAAAATCCCTCTTTTTTGTGTAATTAGCCCTTACTAAAGGATCCTAATGTTTCCATGGCTATGTAGCCAACTACAGAAAAGCTGATACAGCCTTATGGCCTCAGCTTCCACAGACGATGACAATAAACTTTGGTCCAGGACAGAAAAAAGGGGGTAGCAAACACAGGCACAAAGTGCAAGGCTGTACAGATACTTTCACTCCAAGCAATCATTTTCAAATGTTTATGAATAATTTTCAAATTTCTTCAAGTCACAGTTTTACTCCATGGGCTAATTTTTGCATATATTTGTCACTGCAGGGACAAAAGAACGTTTCAAACCGCCCAAATTTAACAAATAAAGACTAGAAAAAAAATACTGCCAACTTCAAAAAAGCAACTTAAACCATGACTCTTCATTCCTTGGGAGGTGCTAACTAGGCAGCAGGGACACAAGTTTGCCTCTTGGGCCTTAGCTCCCCCCCGCCCCCTCAATTCTGCTGAGATACAAGGTTTTGTGCATATATACAGTTTTGTGATAGATCATAAATTAACTGTCAACCTGTTTTCCACTAACACTGTACCTAACTAATTCAGAATATGTAACACGTAAGCCTAGAATTTAAAATAGTTCTTCCTCCTAGAAGAGAGAAAATAGGGGAGTGGAAGGAAAGAGAAACTAAGTTGTTTTTTTTTTTTTAATTCAATTCTCTAATCAATATGAACGTTAATACATGCAAGCTAAACACCCAGGAATTTTGCTCTTAGCAGCTGAAGACAGCAGACAGAGTCCAAAAGAACTTCTTAAGGCACCAGCTACCTTTGCCACCCCAATAAAGAGAACATTTCCTCACCACAAATCTCTCCGCAAGTTTGTAACAAACAAAATCCAGCCCCTCTGGATGGTCAGTCACTGCTGCAGTCACTCCAAAACACTGAATAGTCTTTCCAGAGAGCAGGTTACTGAGCTTGTCAAATACCATTTTCAGATGAGAGCCTGCAGGTATGTAAGGAATGTAGGGAGACAGATTAGGAAACAGCAGACAAGCCTTAACCAGACCTCACCAACAACACAAAAACTCGATCGAAATCCTGAAGACAAGGCACCTCAGACTGCACGTTTGCTACATCTGATCAAATAAAAAAAAAATGAATCACGATGAAGCAAGATGCCTCTGAGGGAAGCAACAGACCTCAAAACATAAGCAAACGCTGTGCTGCAAAGACTTGGATTGCACGTGTACCAGCTTTCTGCTGTAGGGGTAATTACAGAAACGTGAGCTATGTTGTTTCCTACTAAAATCTTTAGAGCAAAAGGCATTTCAGTTGGACTGGGTTCTTGGTGTTTTCCTAACCTGATTTTCTAGCGATCTGGCTCACAGGGATCAGAGCTACTTTCTGCAAGTCATCTCTTATCTTCTTAACCTGCAAACCAAACAAACACACAACTTTAAAAACCTTTACAGACAAGTAAACTACCATGACAGTTTGGATGAGCAGACTGCTAATAGAGGCTGCTAAGTTCAGGGGGTTTTTTGGTTGGTTGGTTGGTTTTTTAAAACGAAAGCTCTCCTATTTCCCCTAGAAATTAAGACAATCACTCTTCAGCAGTATTAAGCATTTGTTCATACCTCAGTTTTTTCACAGTCGGCAAGTTCACTGAAAGAAGCAGCGCACTGCTCAGCAGCATCCTGAAGCTGCTGGTACCACTGCATGATACGTTCTTCTGCCTTAACTTGAATTCCTGATAGTAAAAAGAAAAGAAAATAGCAGAAGACTAAGACCGACCTGAAATTCTAGAAAACCTTAAGAATTTTTTTTTTTTTTTTTTTAAAAGGCAGGAACTAACAGCTGCATAAGTGTTTTTTCGCAGACTTTAGAAAGTTACATTCATAAATAAACTACAAGTTTGCAAGCTATACTGGAGACCTCCTCCTTCAGTTTAGTAGCTTACACATGCAGGATATCTGGACTTAACTTGCTCTCAAGAAGGAAGCCATTTCAGTGGTCTGTCCTTGTATGTTTTGTTGTGTCCTGCACGACTCATCTACACTCCTAAGAAGGCACAACGTTATTCTCTAACGTGGCATACAGCCTAGGAGAAGCAGGGTTTGCTCCAGTGAACACAGTCAATTTATGCTGCGTTAGTTCCATCGCAAAAGTTTGCTGCCAACGGTCCTACCCCCATTTTGTAGTTGTGCTAAAAGCTACAAGAAGGTACGTCGTCACGACAGTAAGGTTCCAAAGTAGTACTTAGCCTAACAGTAAAACAGTGTGTAAGGAGGGAAAGGAGGAGGGAAAAAAAATGGAAAAAAAAAAAAAAAGCCTAACCAACCTTCTTTCTGAGGCTTCCCCCCCAGCTGCTGTGCAGGGGCAGGAGTCTGAGCCTTCATCTGCTCTTTTTTCAGTAACTCTTTCTGCTTTTCTCTCTCTTCCTCTTCATCTCTCTTCTTTTTTTCTTCCAGAGCTGCAGTGATTTCTTGCTGCATGCCGGTTACCAGCCCTCGCATCTCCTGCAGTGCTCGATCAGTATTGGCCACATCTACTTGAGTAGGGAAACCCCTCTGTCAAGAAACAGGAGGTAATACAGCATCAACCTTCCGTTCCACTATCTGTAGACCAAGAGCAAGGAGCCTGTGAAGCATTAGCCTTCAGGTGATCTGGGAGCCGACTACACATTTTATCCTCTTTGGTGAAAATATCTTTTTCTTCTTTACGTGTACATAACAATGTGTAACATTTGTAAATAAAGTTAGTGCATGGCCAGATCTCACAACATCTTGGACAACAAAAATTAATAATACACTTCGACAAGTATAAGGGAACCCCACTGCAAAGCCTAGACAGCTTCCTCCGCAGAAAGCCAGCCGTGACAAGCTGGAACAGAGAATGAGCCTTATTAGAGTGTTTTATTTTTCAAGGTTTGTACCCCATCTTTAGAGAAAAAGATTTTCAAGGAAACCTAGTTACTGCAAAAAGGCTTACGAGTACAGGAGAATCATAAAGTGTTCAGCATTTAGCAATTTACCAACCACTCAGCTTCCATGGTTGTCTCAAAAAACAGCTTTTCAGCGTCAAGAGTTTACAGTATTTTAATATTCAATTTTTCTCCTGTAGAAATCCTCATGCATTTTTATAAGCCATTTTCAAGAGAACAGCTGAAGTGCCACAGAAAAGAATCCTCCTTTTAACTTAGATGCTTTATAAGATGAATATCTGAGAACATTTCTGTGACATCTTATTGAACAGCCTCAGAACAAGCCGCCTTTGAAGACACCTACAGGAAGCTTTCCGAAGGAATGACAACCAAAGTTAAGAGCAACTCCAGAGCCTCTACCTCACTGGCGGTGCGGATGAGTCCTGACACCAACCCACAGAGCTGGTTGCCACGATTACTGTACGCAGAAAGATCGATTGTTGGCAAGTCTTTGTGTCTGTAATCGCGATCAATCTGCTGGTTAAGCTGCAGCACTTCCTCCTGGATGGAATAAAGGCAACGGAATCTTTCCTGGCCCTCTTCCTTACGCAAACGCTCCAGCTCTTCTTGACGCTGCCTCTCCTGCTCTGCCTCACGCAGTTTTAGGTTTAACACCTGGGGAGAAAGAGACACAAGAGACAGAAAATACTTAAATAACTCTGGCTTTACAGGTCCTTCCTGGCCTGATGACTCTAACTTTACAGGTCCCTCCTGCTTCTACAGCACATGTGCCTTTACCACCTTTCCACAAGAGTGCAGCAGGTGTCTAGGACAGCACCAAAAAATACATTCCCACTCCAGGGATGCCACGTAAATACAAACAAATGAATCGGTCTTTCCAGCTCCCACCAAGGGGTCACGGTCTTTTATGAAAGACAACTTTTGTAAGTCTCAGACCTTTGCTCGGAGTCGGTGTTCTTCCTTCAACTTCTCTTGCTGTCCCTGAGCCTCCTTTGAGCTACAAGACATACAAAGACAGAAAAGCTGTATTCAAGACGTGCACAGGACAAAACACAAACAAACACACAGAAAATTACTTTTAAAATAAGCCAAGCTAGAGGAACTTTAAGTATCACAAATATAGCCTTTTTCTAACCATTGGAACCTCAAGAGTAGCCAGAGACCTACTCTGAAAGACAAAGAACAACAGGATAGTTAAGGTGAGAAAAGCAGCAGGTGAGATTTTTCAAGCACAAGTGACTAGCATAGAACTGTCAGGCACAAGAATTAATCTTCACTTCGATTAAATGCTATAATATTTTAAGGATACCAGAGCTAATCTCACCTCTTCTCCATCATTTCTCGCAATTCTTGGAGTTCCTGACGCTGCTTTAGCTCCCTCAGTTCATCAAAGCGCTTCAGTTGTTCCTTCGACATTTCATACAGTGCCCTCGACACTCGCTCAAACTTCTGCTGCCGTTGCCTTATCGCCTCCTGCGGATTGCAGAGGTGCCAGAAGCACCACAATGTAGTAATCACCAGAATTTTGACAGAAGAAAATACAAAATAAATTGCCCAAACTGGGCCAACAGGGTCTACACGGGGTTATCCCAGACTTTACTCTCTAATGTTTAGGATAACTTACTGTCCTGCTAGTTCTACCACAGCGTTGTTACATGTAGCTCTCCTGTGATCTACACACACCATTAAGTTTTGGTGCAGTTTATTTTTTTACCTGTGCTTTCAACTTGTGTACCTCTTCATACATCCGAATGCAGGCTTCAAACTGCATGAATTTAGACGGCAGAACTGTCAGAAGGACTTCGCGATCCTTTTCCAGCAGACTGAGATGTTCGTTGCCCTGCGAGGTCAGCACAGAAACCAAATCACTGACTGAATACGGTATCAGCAACCCACGAAGAAATCAAGTCTCCTAAACTGCACATCATTTGCAGAGAAACAGACAAAGGAGTCAACCAGTGCGCAACTTTTTAGGGTAGTTATATACCCCAGTAGTGCAGCCTCACCATTTTGAGTATCCTCCAGTACCTGTATGACACTGGGATAATGACTTTTCCCAATCACTAAAACTGGGAGCAGAGATACCAAGAGCCTACAGGACATTCACAAAGGCTACCTGTCCCCTAGAAAGGCCAGGCTGGTTCCCCACGTTCTCCTTGCATTCAGTGAAGATGTTACACTGGAAGAAGTCAAGACAGGTTTACACCTTGGCTCTTCAGAAGGAGTCTTTAGACTCTCTTACAACATTTATCAGATCTTTCTGCTTCCTTAAGATGCTTTCCTCACCGTATATTTCTTAAGTCTGGACGGGGCCAAGTTGACACCAAACTTTGCTGCCTAGTGTCGTTGCTACGCTCTGAGGTCATAATTCAATGCATAGCAACGGACATTTGTTTACTTTTCGGGTGCTTCTTCAAACATCGTCATCTCCACAACTCAACTGCTCGTTGCCCAGCTCCCTTCCTTTCACCTTGCAGAAGACAGCCATAACACATCTAAGCCATTCAAAGACTCCAGAGAACCCAAGGGGGTTGGTTATTCATGGGCCTCACCCTACTCCGTGACCTTATCCCTCCAAACAGATGAATCCCATGCTCCTAATCCATAATTTTCCTTAGTTATGGCGAAAAAGGGAGTTTGCTTTTGGCCCATTATCAAACATTATTCTATGAAAACCCTGTTAATACCAATTTTATCGCCACCTGTTTATCATACAAAAAGTTGAAACTAAGAGTGTTGTTCCCCACAAATTAACAGCACAAAACAACCTTTATCAGACAATTTACGGCAGCACGTTTTTTCTCACAGTTGCTCACATATGGATTATAATCAGAGCATACCTCTGTTTCACTCTGCTCTGTAGATGAAAGCGGTGAAGAGGCCTGGTGGCTAGCAGACATGATCTTCTCCAGAGAAGACCCGTTTGTGAGGGCAGTGGATTCTTCAGGTGTTGAACTTTCAGAGGGTGCAATTTCTTGGGCTGATTGCCCAATTATTCTGTCTAGGACCCAGCCAGAATAAGGAGACAGATCAAGAGAAGGGATGCATCCCTCCAAGATATCCTAGAGAGAAAAAAATTTCCGTGAATGTGAAACACATCAAGAAAGCAACGAAAACATCTTCACAGGTCAGCAGGTGCTTTACGACCACAGCTCAGCGCCCCATTTACCCATTTCGGCTGCTCTTTTCAACACTTTCCCCTACTCCCCTGCTTCTGCAGGACAGCA